AACCTCAATATCGAAAGGCTGTAGGCATAGTGACATGCTATATTGGTCAATGCATATCCCATAACCTAATTGGTGAGCAACTAACGGTCATTTGCGCATTAATGACGAAAAGAATTAATGATTGATTGCAAGATCGTTTCCATTGCTGATATAGTTTTCGTTTCCTTATAATAGAATTTTGATACATAGATTATTTACTTTTTTAATAAAAGTGCTTTATTAATTTCATTTTATTAGGCGCAATCGTTAATTAATATAATGTTAGAACATTAGTATTCGTTTATAAGGCATTGATATTACTGGATATCATTATCTTATTAAAATTAGTATAATTAAATTAATTAATTATAAAATATTATGCAGCATTTGTAATAGTTAGTTTTTTATGCTATTGCGAATTAGATATGAAGGTATATGTCAGAATACTAAGTTACTTAAAGTACGTATGCCCATTTGAGCTTTATTTTATTGAATTTAGTTTAAATAATTCCTTGAATGTATTGAAAATTAAACAAATTTTTTAAAAAACTTATTTTTGTATTTTGAACAATGTATGCATATTTGATTTTCGGTATTTTTAAATTTGTTAGAAAGATAAAATGAAACTCCTAAATGTTGTAAATCAATACAATAAAATTGTTAAAGATATTTATACAAATTATTAAAAGTATTGTAAAAGTTTAAAAAAATAATTTTTCATTTACAAATGAATACAAAATTTCAAATTATAAAACTTTTAATTGTTGTGTAATAGGGAAAATAATTGCGTCAAAGTGCATGTTATTCGTGATATAGAAAGCAACTTTACGCTAGTTATTCCGCAATACAATAACATTTCATTAGAAATGTTTCTGCTTTCCACAAATTGTTTTTTTTTTTTTTTTTTATGTAAGTAAATATATTTTTGAAAGTATCTATATTATAGTTATAACGAATGAACTAGAATATGCTTCTACGGGTAAAATTCATAAAAATATGATTTTCATGCTTATATCACGTACTTCGATAATGTTACAGAAAATTTTATTACTTTTTATATTTTATTACCAATATAATTGTAGTATTATATTGTAATATTATATTATAATAATATAATAATATAATATAATATATTATATTATAATAATATAATATAATATAATAATATCATACATGTATAATTTTGTGTAATGAAATGAGACGATTTTCTCGTAAACGTAATTCGTCCTTTATTTTGACTTTTGGCCACACGCATTATTCATGGATATTCGTCTTCGTTTTCTTCATCTTCATATCTTATTTGTCAGCCTTAACTAGTTAAGAAAGAAATTAAAAAGAATTGGGCACGTGTTCGCCTTTTGATAAATGTTCTTTCGTGGAGTTTACCTCTCTTCGAGGCCATAAATGTATGTAATAACAATAAATTTATTTCATTGAAAAAATATTGTTCTACAATATCACTGTAAAAGATAGTCAATAAAGTTGATTTAACATTTTCATTAGCGTTAATTAACTGAAAAAAAGGAAGTAAAAATTTTATTATATACACAAAGAAAAACTTTTATTTATATCATATAACTATGGTAAATAAATACTTGTGTTACAAATATAATTTTTTTCATTGATATATTTTTAAATTTAGACGATAATATAGAGTTTAATATTAAAAATGTGAAATTTATGTTGAAAATTATGGTGCCGTGAATGTAGAGGAAGAAAGCGAAAGGGAGAATTGAAACATAATGCTTAATTATACTTATATATATATATATATATATATATATATATATATATTACAATTTATATTTATTGTCACAAATTATATTAGCAAAAGGCTCACACAACGACTACTTTGCTCTCTCGGAGGGAAGCTAACTTGCCCTTCTACTTTGGTAAATAAAGAAACTCGTATACCTGCCACATAATGTACGAATTCTCTCACTCTCATAACCAATCCCACTAGGATCTTAACAAAAATTTAAATTGAAACACTCTAAATATAAAAATATATAAATTTTTTCGAGACGAATTAATTTATTTCAAACAAAATGCATTAGTTAGTTTTATTTTTATCAATATTTCTATCCTAAGAATCTAGGTCATTTATTTTATATTATATTTCGTAAGTTGTGATAATTTTTCTTATTTGTTCGATTTTTTAAAAGATATCATCATTTATTATAATTAATTCATAGAAAATTATTAAAAGAAAACTGTTGTTTATGAATTTTACTGATATTTTTGTAGCATCAATGTCTGTGGTATTGTACATGGCTGTTTGGATATGAATAATTTGGTGTAAAAATTGTTGTCTGACCTACTTAAGTCAGGCAACGGTTATTGTTACAAAGTTTTACCTTTTATCGTCAGCTTATCTAAAATAATTAATTGTTTCTTAATTAAAATATGATATAAAATTCGTTTGGGTTACAAAAGTGTGATTATCCAGTAAACATTGATTATTAATATTTTTTGATAATAATAAAGAAAATGAACTCATTTCATTATAATTATCTTGTGTATATTGTTATTAAGGATATGTTAAATGAGTTGATATTACACATTACAAATAATTTTCCATATAAAAATTTTAATGGAGTATATAAAAATCAGTTTAATGGACAGTTTTTTGTTTCATTTAAGAAATTGTTTTAAAACCAATGTATTTTCTCAATGGTTTTTGACTTTTTGACTTAATATTTGAAGATCATGTAATATTAGTTTATTTATGTTTAATTAAAATAAATGAATCCATAATTTTGACATTGTTATTATAGTGAAAGCTCATCAAAGTCATTCAAATAATTATAGTATAAGTTAATTTTCATTGCAAATATGTTCTTTGCGTTCAAAGACGTTTTACTCTTCAATGTATATAAGCAATGCTAAAAATATATGAAAAATGTTAAATTACAACTGTTATATTTCCTTTCTGGTTAAATGCATCTGTGTACGTTGTTTTTTCAACTATGAGATAGATTTCAAATATTTCCTTATTTCTAATATTGTAGTATTACATATGCAGGTGTAATATAACGAATGAAATATCTCTTTAAATTATTCATATAAAATTAGTCAAGAAAGCAAAGAAATATAAAAGCTCGTGCATTTCGAGTGTACTTTCAATCCAGCTGCAATGAAAATCTAGTTGACCGCACAGAGAACTCGCAAAGCGACGTTACTTTTCTTTTACTTTTTCGGCTCGTCTTCGCTGTAGATGCGCATGCGTTTGCACGCCTTTTGTATCGATAATTTATTATTGTAGTGTGCGTAATTGACGAATGCGTTAATATGATTGCAGTTTATACGTTGCTCTAGACTTTACGTAACGTTAATATAAAAGCGAGAGTACTCTTTGTCGTCTCGTGAGCGCAATCAAATGAGACAACACGCCCACGTTTCTTTTGCAAATTTCCTCTTTATTGCTACGTGTGATGACTAGAAGGGGTTTCATTATCAAATCTTTATTTTGCCTTAGAATTTATTAGAAAAGACTGCGTAGAATATTGAGGAATGGAATGTAAATATTAAAAAATTAATGAAAGTACTTTGGCTAATGTAGAATTGTTAAGTTTGTCGTTTTGTAAGTCATTTCATTCTTTATAATCGTTCATACCTACATGAACATTTTTACCATTTTTTATATCACTAAAAGGATTTTCGTATTATAATTGATTTGAAAAATTTCTATTATAAATTTACAATTATAAATTTACATTTATAAATGTAAATTCTCAATTAATTAAAAATATTTCATCATTCAATGCTATTTTGTGAGTATAATCACTGTTTCTAGGAAATCAAATGAAAATTTTATAGTCAGATGCTGTAATGCTTTTTGTTGAAGGAAAACTATTTTGGAAAAAGATTGAATGTTTGAATAAATTAACTTATTAACTTTAAATGGTTAAAATATTAAGATAAATGTTTGTTTATAGTTAATGTTATCAGTACATTAGATTTAGTTTCGTTGCATCTGTATTCGTTTTTTTTTTTTTTTTTTTTTTTTTAAATTAAACAATCATATTTATTGCTACATCTATAGTCTGCCTAGTAGTGCTTAATCTATTGTAAAAAATCAATTAGAATACCAGCACTAGTAGCGTTGAGTACTATCGTATCTCTTGGCTAACTATTAGATGGCTGACTTTAGACTATTATATTTCAGCTTCTCTCTCCTATTATTATTTTTTTTTCAAACAAAAAAATTCCATCTTTATTGCTTTAACAACAGATATAATGTCTTTTTTCTTCTTTATTCTTTATATTTTTTCTAGATTTTAAAAAATTTTCAATATTATGATTATAGATTACAAAATAGTTTATATATTAATTGTAAAAGCTTCAGAAAAAAATCTATACATTTTAGGTAATAATTGTCATCGGTATGAGAGGTTCTTGTGGCAAATCAAGAATCTATCTTCGATTTTATATTAAGTTTTCTTAAAAATTGATTTTTGTTATAAAATAATTCCTATTTCTAATATAATAATTTATTATGAAAGCAGAAGAAATCTTTTTTGATGTTGTTGAAAATTTAACCATTTGTCCGTGAAAATTCCTTCAAAATTCTGGAAATAATTTTATACATTAATTAGATTTAATTAAAGTACTTTTTTTTTATTATCATTGAAAGTTTCGCATAGAAGTACCTAATATATTAATGATATATTTATTAATTATTTACATCTTACACTGTATATTTAAATAAATTAGTTGGCCATATTTAAGAATAGAGTACATGTATCTATTAATGGAATTCAATTGTATGAATATAACGTTATTTGTCTTGTATATTTTATATTGCTTTAAATGATTTTATACGAAGAATTTTTGAAATAGTTTTCTATTTTATAATACACGATTTATTTCGTATTAGTACCTATCATGAATTGATAAAGTGATATTTTATCTTATTTATTAAGCATTTTCTTATATTTTCTGAAGTGAAATTTCACAGTATTGTGTATCTACGCCTTTTTTTCTCTTTACTAATTTGTAATATCTTTTTGATGTTTCAGATCTGTGTGGTTAAGCTGAAAGATGATCCAAATGTAAGTAAATACATGTGCCCTATATTTCTTACTAAATTATAAAATAAAATAATTGAACAATAATTAATAGCAATAACGTTTTTGTAAAATTATTTATAGAATACAGATATTTTGGAACGAATACGGGATATTCAGCTTCACATTGTTTCACTTGGAAGGTGGCAGGTAAAGAATTTTAATCATACTTAATTTCTGTACCTTTTCCATTAGTAGTTTTTTCTTGTTAAGTAATTAAGAATTAAATTAAATATATTTAATGTTGAGTAAATATATTGTATGGATGATTAAGTTATTCGGTAAAGTTTTGGCCTATTTCGATGTAAAATTTTATTTAAAAAAATTTATCTTACGTAGTTTTTAGAAAAGTTTTTAGAATAATTTTAATTTCATCAGTTTTCCAATTTGCATTTCAAATATGTATTTATAATTTAATGCAATATGCTTCTTTTTGTATAATTTTAAAATACTCAACATTATTTCACGTTTATTAAACTTTTAATTTTTTGATGATTGAATTCGACATATTTGATTAAAATTGTTAATGCATCAATAAATACTGGAGATTTTCAAAGTAGTTTTACATAATTAGATAATATTGTCAAAATTACGTAAAATGTAAGCTTATTTCATTTATTATTTGATAATATGGAATAATACCTGAAAACATACTGAATAGATACATATTCGTAATCATCGAATTTATTCGAATATATTTATTGGAAAATATAGTTTTATACTAATTTGCGTGTGTTTGGATTTCAAATGTTTTCAAAAGGAATTATCAGGCACCATTTATTCAGTGTATTATATATTACAAACATAAATTATATCAGAAGGATGTTCGTATTAAATTTGCACAAAATCTTGTCTCGTATTTTTGTTTCTATCAAACGAATTTTCTATTTCGAATAATTCTTATAATAAATCTTTCGTATATTAAACTTAAAATACAGGATATTGAATAAATAAAAATTATAAATATAATTGTTTCTAAATTTCATTGGCTAAGTTGTAAAGGCTTCTTTGGTTAAAAAATTGTTCGAATCTACTGTGTTTACCGTTAAACTTTATTTAAAAACTTTGTAAAACTTTTAAAATTATTTCATTCAAATTACTTTCTTATACAAAAAATATATATAATTTATATAAATACTAGGCAGAATTGGCATAGCCGATTGCAATTTTCTTTTTGACTCTTACATAACGAAGACCGCAAGAATAGGCCACTAATTGTCCATGTAAAATAATTGGACCACAAAAGCCCGAATAATAATGAAGTATATTTGAAAGAAATGCAGGAAGTTTTTTAAAATGTACGGTTACACAGGCTATTCATGGCATTTTCTACCATCCTCTATGCAATAGTAAATAGCGTAAACAACGGCAGGATGAGGAGTGAGCGTGAGAATTCTTAGGGGACGTAACCGAGAAATATAAAGCGAGCTAAAGCAAAGAGAGGAAGTCCGATGCACTGGTCGTTGTCAAGTCCATCGACGTTGCGCCTCTCTTATTTTATTTATAAACTCCCAGGCCTTGGGAATGCGCTCGTCGATAAAGTAGGAAGACCTTCTTACTGTATTAACGAGACATTCGTAGGCTCAAGAATAGTTCAAGCTTTTAAATCGAATTACGTGGAAGCCATTTCCATGTACTTTGCCTTCTGAATGTGAGTCGTCGTATTTGAATTTCAAGGGATGGTTTTTTTTTTTAATTTTGTGATGGGCAGTAGCAGCAGCGGGAAGGTGAAACGAGTGCAAACAGTTGGTAACGTTGGATCTATTAAACATTTTGAAACATACACATTTTAAAATCCTTTTATCTTATAAGGTGGTGGTTTTCATAACACATGCCTTATGTACTCTAATCATCGAATATTTGATATTGATACTCAACAACATCATTTAATTTGGGAACGTTGTATAATTCAATTTGCACGAAAGTTCGTTTTTTATTTAATATCTTACTTTGATCCAAGGAAACGTGACAACTGCTTTAAATAGAAGTACGTTAAAGTTAATATATTGCTTATAAAACATTGATAGATATGTTTATGGATATTACGATGATATACAATTTATAAAAAAAATTAAACGCATGCCATAAAATATGCGCACAAAGTAAATATTAAACAAATAACGTTTAAATTAAATTTCGAAAATGTTGGAATCAATGCATTTTACAAGTTTTGCTCATTTTATTCTATTTAATATACTCACTTAATACTTTGATAAAGAAATAATTTATTTCTAATGTTTTCTTCATTTATTTAAAGTAAATACGTAATTGCATTATATGTTGTATATAATATATTCCGGTACTTGATTATACTAATAACTAATGATATTAATTTCTAATGTAATTTAGACAAAAAATTACAATTATAATTAATATGTTTTATTTTATAAATATATGATATTAACATTTTTGTTTCCATTTAATTTTATAAAATTTTGAATACTCAATTGCAAGATTATAAAATATGGAAAATCATTGTTCGACCAGAAAAAGTTTAAAGTGATTGAATCATAATGCTAACAGTCGATGATAAAAACGATTTTAATTTAATATGGTTGTTTGCGTGCACTTCTTTCAAATATTAAAGACTACTCTAATTATTTACAAACAATGTTTTTTTTTTAGAAATATATTATTTATATTTCAATTTAAAAATATAAAGAAATCTTAAATTAAATATTTGTATATATTACTAACAGATATTCATAAATATTTATTTAATAGATTAATCGAAATGAAAACAATATCAATTGATTAATTTGTTTCTATAGTATTACTTAAGCGATATAATGCTTATTAATGATTTTAATTAAATGTGTAATGTTTACAATGTTCCTATGTTTTTTTTTTGTAAGAATTAAGAAAATTAAACATTTCTTTGAATCGTCAACTCATAATAAATTTATTTGAAAATTCATGGATTTTCAAAATTATGATCAATAGAAGTCATATAATTTTTTCCCTTTAATTACAAATAATCATATATAAATATTTTATAATTGTTGATATAAATTCAATATTATATATAGGTAAGAATAATATATTTGTAGAATTTTCTTTTCAATTAGTATAGTTTACAGAACTGATATTGCCATTAAAGAACATAAAATTCGTCAGTATTGCATTTTTACTTCCTAAAGAAGATTATATTTACTTAATGTCAGTAATAATAATAAATGTTTTGTAAAATAAATTCTTAAAATCTAAATAATTTTTTCATGAGTACATATAGAATTTTATAAAAAATGAATGGTATGTGCTAGAATAATTCATAATACACACATCACATATAGATTTAGATAAAACGAATTATAACAATAAAATTATTGAAAAATAGTTTAACATAATTGTTGCTACTTAACCCAAAATAGATTATGTGTAAGGATTGTATGGAGTTATGTAATATAATAAGGAATTTCGTATATTGCAAAATTATATTATAATCTTAAATTTTTCAAAGTTTCTAATATTAGTTAAAAATACACACGGAATTAATTATATTAATTTTTTTTATAACTATTATTAAAAAATAATCGATATTTACCTTGATGACATATTTATATATTTTTTCATATAAGTTTCATTGTAAATTATCAAATTTATCATATAATTTCTGATTATAGATTTTCGTTTAAAATTAATGTCAAATATAAAATTAATTATCAAATATGAATATTTATTTAGAAAATGTGAAATCATTTATCATCAACAAATATATATATTTAAGAATCCTATTAATATATAATATAAAATTTTTAATTAATTACATTCTACATCATTATTTATAATGATAAATTACATTTCTGTATTTAAATATCTATGAAACAATTTTATAATTTGTTCCATTATGAACATTATAATTAAACAGAATTTTCCATTAATACAAATATTCAATTTACTAAATTTTTCATCTTAAACATTTATTTAATTTTAATTTGCAAACAATGTTAAATAATAATAGATGCAACTAGTAATTCAGTTAGTAATTTTTGAGATAGATTATATGGATCATTTTTCTTCTTCATGCAGAATTTTGGTTATTTAGTTTGAATTCATGCAAATTTGTTGGCAAATTATATAGTATACAGATGATGCAAATATCAGAGAACGTGAGCGAGTAGAATAAAACACCTCGATTATGTAATGCTTCAACCCATTCGAATAATTTCTTTCAATTCTTTATTGTATTCAATGCAATAGAATATTATTATTCACACATCTTAATTTATCATTGGAAATATTGTTTTCTACATTATTTATAAAAGAATGTTTAATATACATTAAAAATTTTATTTCGTTTTTGAGTGAACTTACTACATTTATATGAAATACTTTTTAATAAATAATTCCATATTTTTACCAGTGATTCGTTGAAAATATTTTTTACATTATTGCATATTAGAATATATGCAATGAATACTAAGTAGAATACCGCGGGGAATGTAATTCTACTTTATTACCTTATTTTATACAGTATTTTAAAAATCTACACATTTAAATATAAATTTAAATTGCTTTATAAATATTATAGGAAAAACAAGAAATGTTCTCTTAAAAATTGTTCATAATAGCAAGATCTATTTTTTAAATTTTCTTTTATGATGCCTAAATAAGTGTAGCCAGTAGAAACTTCTTTTGTATTTACTTTGTTTTGCAATTATTTCTTTTGTAAATATATTTAATCTTAAATCTCTTTTTTTGATTTTTATAAATCTATTATTTTTATGAACACTATATTTATTTATAAACAAATTTATTCAAGCGCAACTTACGAGTCTAACAAAATATAATAGCTTTATTGTAATGTAGCATTAAATACTGATTTATAGTTTCTTAAAATAGAGTATTGACATTATTCTAAATCAACAACTATATTGATTTGTACGTTTGATTTTTTACGTTGATATGAATTGCAAATTATGATGCCACTTAAGAGATTAAAAATCGTTAAATTGATTATATTAATTTTATTTGTTGAACAAAAGCAAGATTATTATACACCAAATGAAAATGAGAAATAATCAAACAATCGATTAGACGCACAGAACGAATTTAAGAATGATGTAATTGAAATAGCTACTTTGATATTTTTTAATGATATAAATGTTTTTATTATCAAATTAACGAAAAATTAGTTAATATGCCGATAG